TAGCATCCCACCATCAGAATTGTATTGAACCATATCTCTACCATGATCATCAACTATAGTTCTCATGACTTTAGGACTAAATAGTAGAGTTTTGAAAATATTGATGTTTAGAATGAAGTAAAAATAATGTAGTGTAAAAATTTAATGAATTCCAAACTCTCCTCATGATCTTCTAAGTTCTGAATACAATATATATATGTTGTGTATTTCCTACATATGCTACTCATCAGCTGTGTATCTACTATGCATATGTTTCGCATCTTCTGTATATCTTCTATATATCTATTGTGTATGTGCTGTTCTGAAGCAATCTCCCATATAATTCTTATTGCAACACCATCAAACCCATATATCACAATCATCAGTTACAAATAAATTCTAAAATAAACTCTAATTTGATTTTTAATTAACTTATATAATACAAAAATTGTATATAATTTAATTTTTCAATGAACAAATTGTTGGAAATAATATAATGTCAAAATTATAGCTAATATGATAAAAATTGAGTAAATACTCTACCGACTGAATCAAATCAATCATATGAGACAAAATTAATTCATTTTTATTGATTTATCTAATTAACACATACCAAATATTTTAACATCCCACCATTGTAATTATTTTGAACCATATCTCCACCAAGATTATTAACAATAGCTCTCATGATTTTGGGACTAAATGGTGGAGTTTTGAAAATATTGATGTATGGCATGAAGTAAAAAGAATGAAGAGTAAATTTCTAATGAATTCCAAACTACCCTATTTTGTGATCTACTAATATATAATTACATTGAGTATTGGCTTCGTATATGCTATGTATCTACTGCGTATTGTTAAATATTTGTTGTGTATCAACAACATATTTGCTTCCCTTTCTACTACAAATTTGCTATGTGTCTGCTATGTATCTGCTGTGTATCATCTGCGTATCTTATGTATGTTAACTTCATGTTAGTTATGTATCTTCTATGCATCTGCTATGTATCTGCTATTTTAAAGCAATCTCCTACAATTCTTATTGTAGCACAATCAAGCCCATATATAACAATAATTAGTTAAAAATAAATTATAAAATAAAATCTATGTTAATATTTAATTAACATAGATAACATGATAATTATAAAATATATATTACATATTTTTTTTTTTATGAACAAATTGTAGTCAAGCATGGAAATTCTATCTTACCCATTTCGGTTATTGCTACAAACATCTTATTCACTGCTACAAATTGTTATCCAATGTTAGTTAACTGGGATGCCTCTCTCCTTAGGGAGTCTGAAGTTTCATGGCACCCCCCAACACTGAATTGGATAAAAATTAACATAGATGCTTCCTTATTGGATTCAAACAAAGCTAGCATTGGTGGTGTAGTCAGAGATTCCAAGGGAAGATTGCTCCTTGCCTTCGGTAAGCAAAAATTGCATTGGGACATCAATCAACTTGAGTTGGATGCTGTTTATACATTGAAAGAATTCCTTAGAGATTGGGTGTTTGAAAGCAAAGGTTTAATAATTAAGGGTGATAACTACAATGCCATCAAATTCCTTCACGATTCGATGACGAAACCAACCCAGTCAGCCAATAATTTGATTTTAAAGAAGCTTTCATTCCTTTATGACTTCAATAAGGTAGTCTTCCATCATACCTCTAGGAATTGTAACAAAGCTGTTGATTTGTCTGGTTCTTTAGCATTAGATAATAATTTTTGTTTTGACTCTTTTACTTCTCTTGATATTCCTTCTTCTTTGTTTAACATTTTGAAGAAGGAATATGAGCATTGCATTGTTTGATTAGTTTGTAATAGCTTCTTTTTTGTTTCTCCTTAATGGAATTTTTGCAAATTAAAAAAAAAAAAGAACAAATTGTAGAAAATTAAATAATGTCAAAATTATAGCTAATATGATAATAATTGAACAAATATTCTAGAAAATGAATCAAATTAATCAAATGAGATAAAATTATTTTTTTATTGATTTATTCAAATAAGACATATCGTATATTTTTGCATCCCACCATTAGAATTGTATCGAACTATATCTCTACCATAATTATCAACTATAGCTCTCATGACTTTGGGACTAAATGGCGAAGTTTTAAAAATATTGATATTTAGCATGAAGTAAAAAAGAATGTAGAGTAAAGTTTTAATGAATTCCAAACTCTCATTATTTGTGATCTACTAAAAATTAGGATAATTTATTTAAGTTTTCAATACATTACGTATATGTTGTATCCTGCTATGTATCGGTTGCATATCGACTATGTATCAGCTATGTATCTTTTGCGTATCTATTATGTATCTGCTATGTACATATTGACCTCAATCAATCTACATAGCAAGGGAACGTCCTAAATTTAAGCTACCTCACCTTGAAGCTTATAAAAGAAAGACTGATCCTACAAATCATGTGCCTCCTCGACATTAGTGATGCTCTCTAGTGTTGTATCTTCTTCACTACTTCAACGACTCGATTGAAAGTTCGTTAGGGATGTTAGGCCCTATGAATTAGCCCAAGACTAATAAAGAGAGAGAGGTGAATTGGTTAAAAAAATTTCTTTCAATCAAAACACAAATCAAAACCAATGTCACCACAAAGAAAACTAAATGAGGAAATTAAATGCGAATATAATAAAGGAAAGAACACACCAGATTTATAGTGGTTCGGTCAAACCTTGACCTACGTCCACTCCTTAGAAGCACCCTCCAAGTATTGCACTAAACTAAGTGTCTCTCCTTTAGCCCCCATAGCTAGGCGGAGAAGCCCTTACAAAATCACTTCTACCTTCCCCGGTATGGCGGAGTAGCCGGGTTCTTTAACACAAAAGAGATCTTCTTCTTCCGTGAACTTCCCTCAAGATAAGCCTTGAATCCGACGGTACTAAGGTGCAAGATCGCTAAAGCAACCGTGTGGAATCCCCCTCAACACTCCCTTGTGTCCCCCTCAAATGATCTTCTCCCTCTCTCAAACTCCACCATTTTCTCTCTCCCTTTCAAGCTCTCTCTTCAAGTTTCCACCAAAAGAACGAAGCTACAATGGCTGCCAAAGACACTTACCAAGTGTTTTGTCAAAGCTTAAATAGAATATCTCAAAACGAGCTCATTAATGCAACTTGCAGACTTTATCGGCCAGGCCGATATAAATATCGGCCTAGCTGATCAACGTAAATTACGCTCAATCAGCCCGGTCGAGTAGGGACGATCAGAAGATTTTTGTTCATATCGTTCAGGCCGATAGGATATCGTCCTGGACAATTAGTTCAAATCAAAGAAAAATAGTCCTAAACATCGCCCTGAATATAAGCTGGCCGATGTGATCGTGCAAATCATCATTAATTGCTTTCCTTAAATACCAGGTTTATTTAGAAAAAAATTGTGCTGGATCGGCCAAGCCGATCCCAGATAGGCCAGGCCGATCCCCGGGATGATGTCCAAAAAAAGTAATTCCTACATAAATCTGGCGGTTGATTTTTTATGTTTTGACCCTATCGTCTTTGCCGATACAAAATCGTCCAGGGCAATGTGCTTAATGTTGCTGCCTTAACAAGGATGCCCTAATTAGGGTTTCTATTTTTGAACCGATCGTCTAGGCCGATATAAATATCATCCCGGACGATGTTACCAAAAACAGTAAACTCTAGGAAATAGATAGAAACTCTTCCAAGGTGTGTGTGTGCAAGATTACTTAGCATCAGGAGCCAAACCAATTACAAAGACTCAAAAATAGAAAAAAGGTACAAACTGACTCAGACCTAGTCAACCCAATTTTGAGTTGGTTCCAATTATAGTCTGATCTTGTGGACCTGAAATATCAGTAGGTAAGACAGTCGTAGAGATACAAGAGTGTTTGTAATCATTAAAATTATAATTTATGAAAACAGATTCGTAATAATCTCCCCCTTATGATGATGACAAACATTACTCTTTGAATTTGCAAAAGGAAAATATTTTCTCCTAATCTTCCCCTTGCTAAAATAAAACTTTAAAATAGGGGAAATAAAAATTTTTTGTTGTTTTTAATTTTTTAAAGAAGAAAAAAAAAAGATTCAAACACAACAACACCGATTGCTGAAGATGCAAGATGAAAAGGGAATGTCGAAGAAATAAAGAGAATGCCATGGAAAATGAAAATTCTCCATGCCACTCAAAATTTACCCAAGAGGTTCTAGGCCAGGTTGGGGGCTGACAAAATAAGAACAAGACAAAAAAAAATACAAATAAAAATTCACATTTCATGATTTTATTAGAATCTGGGTGCCGAGCCACATCCGAACTTCGTCCGGACCTGCACATAATAATTTGTCCAATCATGATGCGCACTTGGCTTTCAATCCTTTTTATATTTGGTCTGGTGAACGGACGTAGAGCTACGTTCGGCCGGCACTGAGATCGTGCCACGTAGAAGGCACAAAACTGCGGATCCGACCTTGCGAATAGTGGGTATGTCGCACGTGCGTTTTTTAAATCTATGACAACCCGGTATTGCTAGGTATTGCCCGGTATTGCTAGGTATTTGTCGATTTTGCTCGGCAATAACGAGAAATATCATTATGTGAGGACAAATACCGAGCAATACCGAGTAATACCGAGTTTTTCTAGAAAAACTCGGTATTACTCGGTATTGGTCTTCACAGAGCGGTATTTCTCGTTATCGCCAAGCAATACCGAGTAATACCTAGCAATATGCGAATATAGCATTCCCGGGTTCCGGTCCAAGTCAAGTTGTCCGGCCGCATGGTAAAGAGTAAGAGCACGTGGCGCGTTCTCAGTGGTGACCGGACGTAGAGCTACGTCCAGCCACCGGACCTAATAATTGTTCCCGTTTGAGCCCTATGGCATTGGCCACGGCCTCAAAGTCCGCCCCCGGCCCGCTGCTTAGATTTGTTCACCGTGTTTGGACTCACCCTGCCGCGCTGACCAATAGCTTTCAACCATCCCAATATTTCTACCATCAGCAGCTGGCCGAGTTTTCCCTTACTCCATATGGCAACTTTTCCTTCTCCCGCCAGTATCCTCCCCTCGCTACCTCCAAACGCTAACTTTCAACTCTCATATTCTTAATTCCCTCCACAACACAACCAAGCAAAATCAAAGATAACGAGCTAAGAAACCATTTTGTTTCCCTTCTACCCTCCCCAACTTTCTCATTCTTACCAACACGTCCACTCACCATGGAACGCCCTCTTTCGCCGCTACACAGCCTTCCGCCGGAATCCACAGCCGGAGTTACCCTCTCCGGCCTTCTCCCCCCTGCCTCGCTAATCGAATCCCTCCTCCACGCCTCCGCATATCTCGCCACCTTGGACTCTCTTCCGTTACTCCAAACCCGTAACACTGCCGCTGCAATCCAGCGCGCCCGTATCATCTCCTCCTTACTCGAAGACCTCCACGACTCCACCAGCCGTGGTCGTAGATCTCTTCCTCTCTCTTCAATCCTCTGCCTCACCGAGCTCAGCTCCGTCATCCAGCGAACAAAAACCCTCCTCGACGACCTCGCCTCAGGAAGCGCGTTATGGAGTCTGCTCAATGCCGAGGCTTCTGCAAAACGCTTCCTTTCCTGCACTCGCGAGCTATCGGCGGTGCTCGATATCCTCCCGCTTAGTCTCCTCCCCATCTCCTCTGACATCCGCGAACAGATCGAACTTCTCCACCGACAGACCAAAAGCGCCGGATCCGACCTATTTGTTGATAGCCGCGAAATCCATCTCCGTGATGAGCTCCTCTGCATCATGTCTAAAGAGAAGGGCTTTCTGGATTTCAACAAGGTGGAGGAAGTCATGAACAGGATTGGGTTACGAACAGCCGCAGCTTACCAGGAGGAAATCAAAAAGCTGGAAGCGGAAATACTTAAGCAGGCGGGTACTGGTGGTCTTATGGCCGTTTCCAACGTAAACAATCTCATCGCCTTCGTCTCCTATGCTAAAAACATCATATTTCGTTCCAGCAAAGCTGACGCCTTCCCCAAAGCTCTCAGTCGATCGTCGTCGTGGTCGGTGGCGACATCGCCAGCGATTGCTAGTAATATCCCGGACGAGTTCCGGTGCCCTATCACGCTGGATTTAATGAAAGACCCGGTGGTTTTGGCCTCCGGCCATACTTACGACCGGAGCTCAATCTCCCAGTGGATAAACTCCGGCCATCAAACCTGCCCAAAGAGTGGGCAGAAGCTAATCCATATGGCACTCATCCCAAATTACAATCTTAAAAGCCTCTTCGAGCAATGGTGTAAGGAGAATAACCTCTCCTCCACACTCCGACACCGGGCTCCCGATTCGGCGGCGGAGGAAGCCGTCACTGTCGACCACATCTCGGCAACCCGGGCAGCCATCGAAGCGGTGAGAATGACGGCGGAGTTTTTAGTTGGAAAGCTAGCCATGGGCTCGCCGGAAACGCAGAGGCAAGCGGCTTACGAACTCCGGCTGCTCGCCAAATCCGGCATGGAGAATCGCCGCATAATAGCTGAGGCCGGCGCCATTCCTTTCCTCGTCACACTACTCGGTTCCAGAGACCCCCGGACGCAGGAGAACGCAGTGACTGCCCTGTTGAACCTCTCTATCTTTGAGAACAATAAGACTCTGATAATGGCCGCGGGAGCCCTTGATTCAATCGTGAAGGTGCTACGGGAAGGCGAACTGATGGAGGCGAGGGAGAACGCGGCGGCGACTATATTCAGCTTGTCTATATTGAACGAATGCAAAGTAGAGATAGGGAAGACAGTAGAAGCGGTGGCGGGTTTGGTGGAGCTGTTACAGGACGGAACGTCCGCTGGGAAGAGAGACGCGGCGACTGCGTTGTTAAATTTGGCGGTGTACGATCCGAACAAGACGGCGGTGGTGGAGGCGGGGGCAGTGCCAGTGCTGGTTGAGTTGTTGATGGACGAGAAGGCTGGAATCACAGACGACGTGCTTGCAGTTCTCGCTCTTCTCTGTGGATGTAAAGAGGGGATGAGAGTGATAGGGGATAATAAGGCGGCGGTGGCAATACTGGTGGATTTGATGAGGTTCGGTTCGGAAAAAGGGAAGGAGAACGCCATTGCGGTTCTGATGGGTTTGTGTAAGGATGGGGGAGCGGAGATGGGGAGAAGGTTGTTGATGAATGCGAGGAGTGTTCCTTCACTACAGAGTTTGGCAGCTAGTGGTTCGATGAGAGCGAGGAGGAAAGCGAATGCTCTTCTAAGATTGCTTAATAGATGTTTCTCGCAGTCTAATTCGGCTCCTATATGATGATGATTATTTTGTCTCAGTTGCTGCCGTGATTCAATCTGGCCATAAACCCGGAGAAGGATGTCCACTTTTTTTTTTTTTTGGTACATTTTGTATATATAGTGTTTTTTAAATAAAGAAATTATATGAAAATATTTTGGTGCAAATTATAAATTTAAAGATTTGAAGTTTACCCTATTAACCTAGAGTCAAATCCTCAACCTCTTAAATCAACCACCACAAAATCAAAATGAGTAATGGATGCCTCTTTAAAATCTTGACCTGGAGCAAACCATCTGAACCACACCTCTACGTTTGCTTCTTCAATAGACAGCCTTGGGCAGGTTTTTTTAGCAATTGTTTTGGCTCCTTGTAAATATCTACTATCCTAAATATGAATTCTTCAACTTCTAAGCAAATCATTCCTCCTTAGTCAAATGTTCAAAATCAAAATAAAGTCAAGGTTCTGCAAAATGATGATGACCCTACTCTCATTCCATTGTAGAATCCTCTGCAAGTAGCCAATTTATCCTCTCAAACAAGCCCACAACACACAAAAATGGCAACAAAGCAAACACTCCACCAAAAACAAGATGCCCTAACCCACGATAGTAACTTGGAATGTCTTAAGCTTTAACAATCTTGACATTATTTAATTATAATAACTTGATATGCCTGTATAGTTTTGACCTTTTTTTGCATTCTAGAAGCAAAAGTCAATAACTCCATTGTAAAGTTAGGATAAGTTGTTAAACCTATGCAAAAGTCATAAGGCTAACCAAGAGGGGGGGGGGAAAAGGGGGGGGGGGGGGGGGGGGGGGGGGGGTTAATTGGTAATTTTAAAATTTCCCTATTGAATTTTAATAGAACATCATTTTTCTTATATTTTTTTCAAAAATAAATTTTCAACCACAAAACATAAAATGCTGAAAATAAAAGTGCGGAAAAAAAAAATAAACACAAAGATTTATAGTGGTTCGGTCCAACAAGACCTACATCCACTCCTTGAAGACTCCCTCTTAAGGTATTACACTATTTCCAAAATGACTCACATTTTAACCCCACAGCAAGGCGGAGAAGCCTTTGGAGGACGGATTTGGCTTCTTTTTCAGTTATTAAAACTTCTGATCAATGTGTTATTGGAGAACTCAATGTTTTCAACAAGGCTGTTTGGTTGATAACTACGGTGTATGGAAGCAAGGAGGTGAATAAAAGGAGAATGCTGTGGGATTGTATTCTGGAGGTTGGCCGCAGGAAACTTCCATCGGTAGTAGGAGGTGATTTCAACTTCATTTTGTCTCAGGATGAAAAAAGAGGGGGTAGGAAGTTTGTTTTTTTAAAGGGGTAGAAGGAGATGTTAAGCTTCATGAATGAGAATGATTTCCATGATGTAGGCTTTGTTGGACCAAGGTTCACTTGGTGTAACAACAAGAATGGTGGGGTAAGAATTTTGGAGAGATTGGATAGGTGCTTGTTGAATACTTTGGCAATGAATTGTTTACAAGTGGCAGTGGTAAGACATTTACCCTGGATTGCTTCTGATCACAGTCCTATTGTGTTAAAGATCTTTGACACTTTTTCAAGTAAGAGGGGACTTCTTAAGTTTGAAGATGTTTGGATTTCTTACAAAGCTTCATTTCTTATTATTGCTAAGGTGTGGAAGAAGGTTTTTAGTGGTGATGATATGCAAATCCTGAACAAAAAGTGCAAGAAATCCTTAAGGGATTTATTCTATTGGAGTAGAACTAAGCTAAAGGAAATTTCTGAGGACAAAGAAAGGCTAAAGGCTGAAATTCTAATCCTTCAAGAAGAAGAAGCTAACGTTGGGGCTTTGAGTGAAGACAAATTGTGGATGCTCAGATGTAAGGTCAAGGAGCTTAATGCAACTCTTGGTCATTTGAATACTTGGGGGAAGCAAAGGGCTAAAGTGAAGTGGATTGAAGAGGGATGCTAATACAAAGTTCTTTCATGCATTTGATAATGCTAGGAAGAATGCTAACTAGATTCCTCGAATAAAAAACAGTAATGGCATTCTAACCGATGATCCCAAGGAGATTGAAGATCTATTTTATAATTTCTTTCAGAAGAAATGGGATAACAGAAACTGTGTGTTGACAGATTGGCCGCCACCCTTGAATGTTTTAACTAATGAAGATAGAATTGGTTTGGATGCTGATTTACTGGATTCAAAAATCTGGGAGGTGGTAAGGAATTAGGGAAACAACAAGGCACCGAGATTTGATGGGATCACATACTCCTTCTTTAAGTATTACTGGAGCATTGTAGGTACTGATGTTTGTTTGGTTGTGAGAATATTTTTCTTGATTGGAAGAATGGCTAAAGATTGGAAGAACACTATTGTAGTTCTTATTCCCAAGATCAACAACCCGGTTTCTCCAGCTGGGTTTCGGCCTATAAATTTGTGTAATTATATTTATAAGATTGTGACAAAAATCTTATTAAATAGGCTGATGGTGGTAATCCCAAAGATAATTTCTGATGAACAAGTGGCTTTTGTAAGAGGAAGATCGATTTTAGTTCATTTGCTTTTAGCACAGGAGGTCTTCAACAAAATGAGGTTGTCTAAAGATAACAATGGTTTGGTGGCTATCAAGGTAGATATGGAGCAAGTATACGATAGTTTGTGTTGGACTACTCTCAACAACATGTTAATTCTTTTGGGTTTTCCAGAGAAGTTCATGAAGTTGGTGATGGAATGTATCTTGGAGCCAAGTTACTCTATTCTCATCAATGGTAGATGCATTAAATGGATAAAGGGAAAGAGTGGTTTCCGTCAAGGATGTCCACTCTCAACTTTTATATTTATTATTTGTTCTCAGCTGCTTTCTAATGTTTTTCTTAGCAGGGGAAAGGATTTGGGCATTAAAATTGCATCCAAAGGACAAAGGATATCCCATTTGCTCTATGCAGATGATGTGCTCTTATTTTTTGATGCCAAGAGAAGAAGTTTAAGAAGTCTGAAGGCAATTATTGACGACTACTATAGTTGGACTGGCCAAAGGATCAACTACCATAAATCTGCTATGATTTGTGGTAAAAAAGTTGATAGAAGAAAGAAGGACATTGCAGAATTTCTGGGTTTCAAGCCGGTTGATGAAATGAATTATTTGGGAGTTAAAGTTGCACTAAGAAGATTGAAAATGGCTGATTTCCAATCTCTCTTGGACAAGTCTATGAAGAAGTTGGACTCTTGGAGTAATAGATTCATCTCTTTGTCTGGAAGGATGGTGTTGGTGAATTCGGTATATGTTAACCTCCCTATTTTTCTTATTTCACACTCTCTCATTCCTTTAGGTGTTTTGAAGGAATTTGAGAGATTATGCATAAATTATATATGGAATAAAGCAGATGGAAGCCATGGGCTACATTATGTAGCTTGGAATGAACTTTGTAAGCCAAAAGCTTTGGGAGGATGGGGGATACGTTCTGCACTAACTAGCTTGGAAACTTTAAGAGCTATGTTTGCTTGGAAGTTATTAGAGTATCCTGATTCCTTGTTGAATAGGAATCTGTTATGTTAATATGGAGAGGACTGGTGGAATGATGACAATAAGAAGGGTGGCTCAAATTATAAAAGCTGGTCGTGAGGCTCTTAAAATGGCAGTCAGATGGAGAATTGTGTCGGGCAGCAAAATTAATGTTCTAAAGGATATTTGGATATTGGATAAGAGCTTCCTCAAGTGGCCTACCTTTGTTGCTAATTTTGAAGATGAGAACACTTATCTAGACTTCTTTATTCAGGATGGAAGTTGGGATCTAGATAGATTGTCATTATTCTTTGGAAGTGAACTACATGCTTTAATCATCAATATTTAAATTTGTAGTAGGGAGAATGGAGACTTCGTGGAGCTAAAGAGTAGATTTTCTGGAAGATCTATTTCTGCGCTGATTAGGGAAGAAATGCTGAATAAGGAGCTTATTTCAGAGTCGGTTCCAGTGAATTGGTTTCAAAAATTATAGTTGAACACCTGTGTTGAGTTGTTTATGTGGAGGATAGGTAAATCTACTTTACCAACTGCTGATTTCCTCATGAGAAGAAGGTTAGCCAATAGGAATTACTGTCCTAGAGGTTGTGGAGTAGTTGAAGATATTGATCACATCACCACTTCTTGTCTTTAACTATTGAAGGTTATTGATGTATTAAGGAATTGGGGATTTATGATTCCTAAATATAACTTTTTCCAGGAATGTTGGAGCAAACTGGAAATTCTAGCTGGTACAAATCTGGTGATGGCTAGGATCTATTGTTCTTTGTTGTGGTTTTCTTGGAACAATAGGAATAAGATCAAGCATGGAAAAATGGATACTTGTGATACATTGACATCATCTTCTATTTTGAGTTTTGTAAATAGTAAGAAGTGGAATCTTATTCGATCGGATCACTGGGATGTCCATCGGTCCTTGAGGCTGTTTTCTAATTCCTGGCATCCCCCTCCACCTTGTTGGTATAAGATTAACATTGATGCTTCCCTCAAGAAGAATTATGAAGCAGGAATTTGAGGCATTGTTCGAGACTTCAAAGGCAGATTTATCATGGCTTTCGGTTTCTATGGAGTTCATTGGGATATTGCTCAAGTTGAGTTATTAGCTATTAACTCATTGAAGAAGGTCCTGAAAGGTAAATAGCTTGATGCTATTAGTATTATAGTTGAAAGTGACAATTTTGATGTCATCCATTTTCTTCAATTGTATAGCAAAGAGAAGAAAATGGATGATAATATTGTTGTTGATGATGATTGTTTCTTTATTGGGAAGGGTTTAATAATGTCATCTTTCATCATGCTAGGCAGAATTTTAATAAGTTAACTCACTTTTGTGCTAACTTAGCCTTTTCTTATGAGTTTTTTGGGATTACTTTTCAGAGAAGGATCTACCTAATTCTTTCGTTCAAATTGTGAAGGAAGAATGTGTTATGGTAGTTTCTCCTCATTAGTTTGTATCTAGGCTTCTTTCTTTTTTCTTTGCTTTAATCTATTCTTATTTGCATTCTTCAAAAAAAAAAAAGCAAGGCAGAGAAGCCTTTACAATTTTCCTCTCTTTCACCAATCCCAGGTGCGGCAG